TAAGAAGACAGATTATTTTCTACAGTTATAGGTCGAATCAATCGGAGACGGCTATCTCTGTGTATCTGGTCTACCTGCTAGAAATGGACATAGGCATGTGAAGGACATTGCAGAAATGTCTCTGAGCTTTATGGATTACGTGGAGAATTTTCAAGTGATCCCACTGCCCAAAGAGAAGATTCAACTGAGGATCGGAGTGAACAGTGGTGAGTTGTCTCGAAGTCCTCCAGAAAATGGCGCTGCGTCCACCGCATTTGGTCTGACCACGTTATCAGTAGAAAAGTCACGTCAAAGTTCAGCGACTATGTTCAATTAGCGAATATCTCTAGCGAAAGCATAAAACAGTATCTGGTTCAGTAGGGGCTCTACAACAAGTATACTCGAGATCCATGAGATGCGGTAGGCGTGGCCGCGTACCTTAACTTAACGTGGCAGTAGCTGTGCTTTTGGTGTGATGTCTCTATTGACACAATTGTGGTCATGTTTCTGTCCAACACTGAACAAGATGGCAGTTGTCTCAAACTGAAATATCCCACGAGTAACCCGTTCTATGCCATGTTCAAATGCCACGCCTACTCCGCCCAGGGATAAGTAGTGCAGCGCAGATCAGATGGTTGTTTGCCCCCGGTGTATGATAGGAGTCTGTGCCTACGACGATTCATCAGATTGAGTGATAGGCTTCCAACGCAACCTATCCAGGGAAACAAGACGAGTCTCAACCGTTCACATCAAGAAATACCTGGCTAGCATGACACTAGGTAGTACTTCCTGTTTAGCCTTCAAGAGGCACAATCTGGAGGAGCATAATGGCAAAAGTTTGGATATAAGGTGAACAGTGTTGGAGCATAAAACAAAAGTTTCTGCTAGAAGAGCTTGTCAGGCTGGCTGGATTCCACAGAAAACTCCCCGATTACAACTGGGATGAATGCTCTTCGATAACCACTGAACTCTTGTCACTTCTGCCGCACTGCGAGCTGTAGAACCTCAAGAGCTTAACTTGCGTCTCCCACATATTTCTAATATAAGGAGGCAATGCAGTGTGTACATATGTGTTGCGTGTCGTTTACTAAAATTCAAGTCTGTACGAACCCCTCCCCCTACCCCGAGTGAGTTTTGATCTTCTGCTTGGATTTCTTTCGAGGTCCCCGACAGGACGTCGGAAACGCTAGAGAAGTCGCCTGCTGTATACAGTCGACATCAAGAGCAGGGCACATAGTTGTTGGGGTCCCCAGGAGGGGTCGTAGTTGGGCTGAGAAAAATTTGTTTTGATAGTCGACTTTTCTCCCTTCACGAACGTTATAAAAGGGGTGGGGGGTCGTACCTGCTCATTGTTGGGAGGGGGAGTCGTATTTACTTTTTGGCCTTCTAGGAGTGGTGGGAGTGGTGGTTGACTTTTCGTGATTTTCCTGTTTCATGTGTACTATATACCCCCCCCCTCGCCCCCGC